TCTAATAAAATATCCATTTATCCTCTACATCATAACAATAATGACAAAAAATTATCCCTTGCTTCAAAAGCAAAATTAGCAAAATATGACTAGTGATTAGATCAAAAGATGGCGTGTGATACATTTCATATTTCTCTATATAATATTTCTATTATATAGAAGAGTGAAGACGACCAGGACGATCAGGGGCACTTTTGTCATTTTATCAAAATTATCAGCTTAAAATAATTGTACTTTCTACTGCAAAATTATTGAATTTCCCAAATACCCAACCAAGTTATTATTATTATGATGACCACGTGTACTTTCTATCATGAAAAGCATAAAAAATATCATAAGTAGCCGTACTATCTAAAAATGGTGGGACCCATTTATTAAATCAATTTATATTTCATTAACACCTTTACTTTTTGCACTAAAATAAATATAAAAAAAAACAAACATGATTTAAAAATAAAAATTAATAAATAAAATGGATAGATAAATTAAATGAAATTAAAGTAAACTAAGAAACAAACTAAATTTTTAAATAAATAGTTTTAAAATTTTGCGAATCAATATTAAAGAGAAATAATAAGTATTTTTCGTGTTCAATTTACGTACGTTAATGATAAGAATATTTTGATAATAAAATATTTTAAATTTTAAGATTAATTAGATTGTTTACTTTATTTACTTAATATTGCTATTCTTTTGTTTGAAATAAGAAGTTAAGAATCGGAACAGATGAAAAATCAATACATTAATTAGAGAAGTAAAATAAATTTAAGTAGATTAATATTTAGAAAGAGATGACAAAAATAGCAAATGATTAATAGTAATTTTAAAAATTATGAATAAAATTTTGGAATAAGATAATATATCTGGATGAGGAAATCAATACAATATGTAATGATCTATGTATTAAAATATCATGCTAATTTAGCATTTAATTCTAAATAGATTTTTTTAAAACAAAGAAAATGCATTTATGTTTTCAGATTGTTTGAAATTTTTTCACTAAACTGATAAAAATAACAAAAATACTTGTTCCTATAAGTTATTGTGCATGAAAAAAGAGAACCAAAAACACATTTATATCATTCTTAAAAAAATTATGTTTACTAAGACAAATTATGCATATATAGAACTTCATGTAATAGTGAAACATGCTTCTTAATTCTAATTTTTATGTATGAGTGATAAATACAAAATATTAATCTCTCTGTTTCAATGTGTTTGTTCTATATTGACTTGGCATTAAGTTTAAGAAATTAAGAAAGATTTTTGAATCTTGTGATTTTAAATTTTAAATATGTGAAATATAGTAAATGTCTTTTAATCTTGTGATCTTAAATATGTTATGTGGAGTTGGAACTAAGAAAAGAAAAGGGACATTACTTTTTAATAGATTATAAAGAAAAATTCGACAGATTAATTGAAATGAATAGGATAGATTTCAAGATGATAATACATAATGATTCATGATTTTTATATAAGATATAATCCAATCTAACAGACAAATTAACTCTGAATCCTACTAAATTTGTGTCTTATAGTAATGAATAAATAAATTGAATATTATACTTCAGAGTTTTACAACTTAAAAAATGAATCTACCCATCGCTAATATCAATTATACTTTAAAATATTATTGGGTTAATTTAATTTAATATTTTTTATTCAGTATTCGATATTATATTGGAGTTGCCCATTCGGATATAGAGCTCTATTAAGAATTTTTTTCATATCCAAAACTCAAAATTAAGATATTTAATTAAGGAAGGATAAACACCATTCAATGCACTATATTCTTTGATGGTTATTTTTTGATATTTTTTAATACTAAATTTTTTACCAAGATCAAAATCAATTAATGTTGATCAGAATGCTATAGAAATACCTTTTAATATTTGTCAAATAACGATTAATAATTGATTATATTGGGCCCGTATCACAGGCCTTAAGAATCTAGTAATAATAGAAGAGGCCTCAAAGCAGCTTTCCGTTGTGCTGTCAGCTTAGAAATAGAGGCTATTTTTGGTACTTTATAAGTTCTATGCTATAGTTCTATTGTACTTCATTTTTCTGTGTATGTACCTTCTCCGTTTTGGACCAAAAACCCATACTATTTTCAATATATACCACGTGAACAATTTGTCTAAGCATGGGGTCCACTAGCATTTTCTTTACGATAAAGGATCAAAACTACCCTTAAACTATTCGAAATAGCTCAAATATACCCTTAAACTATATTTCGGCTCAAAAATACTTTTTCCGTCAAACTATTGGGCCACACCTACCCTTCTAGTTAACGGAAGTATCCATGTGTGTGTTAAATGCCACATGGACACCACATGGATGCCATATATGCACGCCAAACAGACCCCACCTCTACACAGACGACTACGGAAAAAGATCAAAACTATCCTTAAACTATTCGAAATAGCTTAAATATACCCTAAAACTATATTTCGGCTCAAAAATGCCCTTCCCATCTAACTATTAGACCACACTTGCCCTTCTGTTTAACGGAAGCATCCATGTGTGTGCTAAAATGTCATATGAACTCCACATGTGCACGCCAAACACTCCACATAGATGACTCAAAGCCTTAATTTCACTCTTTCCTCCTCATTTCATCCTGAAAAGTATATATAAAACCAAAAATAGGAAAAAACATTTGCGGAAACTTGTATACGTAATCGAATGAGTAGAGAAATTGCAATTTGATGACCATTTCAAATATAATAAAAGAAACGATCTAAGGTATAATATAAACACACTCATTTTAATTAATCAATTAACACTAATTTATTATTTCAATTTCTCTTAATAAATTAATTTTGTTTAAACAAATCTTAGCGAAGCTTTCTTGTTGATTCAACTCACGACCATGACGCAAAATAGCAGCTGCCGTAAGAGACCTAATATACTTATCACCAGAACTTCAAACACAAGGAAGACGGCTACGACGGCTTCCCTAGTGGTGGTGACCAAGATCCGCCACATCAACGTCGGCGATTTCGCTAATGAATAAAACTTAACGAACTGTTGGGATGACACCTTCGATTGCTACTACATCAACGAAGACCTAGTAAGTCTTTATAGATTTTTTAATTTAATCTTTTTTTACCAATTACCTTATTTTTGTTCAAGTTTTGAACTTTTGTGGTCCCTAATCAGAAGATGCTCTAAATGATTGTTAAGGAAGCTTTAGATTTTATGGAAAGTTAAAGAAACATTCAATATAATAGATGATTTAAGGATTAGATAGCAGGATTAATTTGAATTTTGTTTTTAAGTTGTGATCTTCAAAGTACAACATATTAGTATCAGAATAAAATGGAACTGAATTGAGTCAATGTATATTGTATATTCATATAGGTATACCCAAATAAGGAAAAGATGAAATGAGGGGAAAATAGTGAAATTAGGGCTTTAAGTCGTCTATGTGGAGGTGGGGTGTGTTTGACGTGCACATGTGGAGTCCATGTGGCATTTTAGCACACACATGGATGCTTTTGTTAAACAGAAGGGCAAGTATGGTCCAATAGTTAGACGGAAAGGGCATTTTGAGCCGAAATATAGTTTAAGGGTATATTTAAGCTATTTCGAATAGTTTAAGGGTAGATTTGACCATTTTCTGTAGTCGTCTATGTGGAGGTGGGGTCTGTTTGACATGCACATGTGGCATTTAACACATATGGATACTTCCGTTAACTAGAAGGGTAGGTGTGTCCCAATAGTTTGACGAAAAGGGTATTTTTGAGCTGAAATATAGTTTAAAGGTATATTAAGCTATTTCAGATAGTTTAAGGGTAATTTTGACCCTTTTTCGTTTTCCTTAATTTGTGGGTCCGATTTTAAAGTTGGTTTTATACTTTAGCACACCAATTTCCTTTTTCTTATGTATTTGCAATTCATTTACCATGTCTAGATTTGTATGGTTTGAAAATGACGTAAATTTTTTTATAAATCACAACAATTAATAATTTAAAATATATATACAAAAATTGTTGAGTCTTGAAATTCTATATGTGTCGTATAAATTGAGAAAAAAAGTGATATATATTATTTGTTACACAAAAAGTATTATAAATTACAATAATTAACAGTTTAAAGTATTTAGCAGATATATAAAGAGTCCGATTGTTTCTCAAAATTTCATTAGTACCACATAAATTGAGAAAATAGAGTAAGTAACATATATTATTTGAATATGACGTAAAAAGTGAAACACAATAATTAGCAGCTTAAAATATTTAAAAGACATTAAAAACATTTGGTTAATTAGGATAAAGAAAGTAATTTATATTATTTAAAAGTGATGTAAAAACTAATATAGCTCACAATAATTAATAGCTTAAAAATTTAAAAAACGTACAAAAAATTTGTTGACTCTCGGAATTTTAGGAGTGTCACATAAATGGAGCAAAGAAAATAATGATAGTATTATTTTAAAATACATAAAAAGCACTACAAATCATAATAATTAAAAACTGAAAATATTTAGAAATCATATTAAAATTTAATTGACTCTTTAAATTATATTTTTATCACATAAATTAAAATAAAAAAATAATATATGTTGGGCACGGTCCTGTATCTAGTATTTGAACTCTAACTTAAATAAATAGCACGACAGCCACAAGCAAATAACTTAAAAATGTAAAAAAAATAAAAATACATACATATTGATGAGAGAAATTTCTTAAATTTTTCACTATATATTTTAGGATTGTTTAATTTTTAAATATATTTTACTTTTACTATATATTTTAGAACTCGTTAATTATTAATTCTATTACCTTTTAGCATACATGTTTTACTCTTATCAAATATTTAATTTTTAGCATGTTTTTTTTAATTATATATTTTAGAATTCTTTAGTTTTAAATATTATAAAAATAATTAAATAGTAATTTTATCAAATTTATAAATGTCAAAATTCATATATTATATAGTAGCAAAAAAAATAAAAAAAATAAAAAAATAGGAGTTGTACGAGTCGGCAAACACATTTGTTTTGCTTAAAGTAAACGCTAATTTGCTGAATATATAAGCTTAAACAGTTTTGGGTTTGTATTGTTGTTGGTTGTAGTAGCTTGAGCATAAACAGCTTCAATGTCGCTATTCGGTACCGGTGCCACTGCTGCTGTAAACACAAATCCCAATAAATCTGTCGAGGTATTCTTTCGTAGATTTATTTCAAGGTTTTACCTGCTTTTCCAAGTTTCATCCATGGCTATTGCAAGTTTTTGTTTGAATTAAGTTATGTATATTCGAATCAATACTGAAAATCAGTTTTGTTTTGGGTGTTGTTTTTGCAATTTTTATATAACATTTTGGGTGATGTATTTGTAAGGTTCAACAACCTCCTTCTGATTCTGTGTCAAGTCTCTGCTTCAGTCCCAAGGCTAATCTTCTGGTTGCTAGTTCATGGGATAACCAGGTTAGTTTGCTTTCTGTTGATATTTACCCCATCTTCATGGGTCCTTTTTACTTTTTGTTTGAGTAGGGACAAATTTAGATAACCCTAATATTTTGCCTGTAATAGACAGGAAAGTATATAAATGATTCCTATAGTTGAACTGGTAGTTGATTGATATTTCTTTTTGAGCATGAGGAATGTTTGATAAGCTTTCGAGCTCTCCAATCATCAATCCCTGTTTGTAGTCTGTACAAATAGGTTGTTTACATGCTATTAGAAAAGTTTATAAATCTCTTACTTGGGTAGATAACTCTACTTTTGATAATTAAGGGTGACAGGAAATCATGGCAAATTGAATATGTAAATACCTCCTTAAGGTGGAATAATATTCTAAATGATTTTTCAATCAAAATATGAGGTAATGGGCTAAAAGGCGTAGGGTTGTAGTACAGAGACAAAGAGATTTATTTTTAGAAGTTCTCTTTTTATTTGTTGAATGGGTCTAGATATGGAGGGATGGACGAGGTAGTTACACTACGTATTGGGTTTTATTAGTAATATACATATGCCAGTAAGTAAAGATTTTAGGACTGGGAAGACGGGGCGAAACAATATTAAGGTACAACTGCCTCTTTTCTATTTCTAGATGATTTTGTTTGCTAGGTGGAACTGGAAATAAATCTTATTCTGTGAGGTTTTCTAGGTGCGATGTTGGGAAGTGATGGGAAGTGGAACCAATGTTGGAGTTGTACCCAAGGCCTCTATATCACATGAACAGCCGGTAATATATGGGCATTTTGCTGGTAAATTTACTCTTTTTTTTTTTATGACTTGTATTTATTAGCTATATACAATCTATTTCTGGCAGGTTTTATGCTCAACTTGGAAGGATGATGGGACAACTGTCTTCTCTGGAGGTTGTGACAAGCAAGTGAAAATGTGGCCACTATCTGGTAGTCAACCGGTAACAGTAGCCATGCATGACGCTCCTGTCAAGGAATTGGCTTGGATCCCAGAGATGAGTCTCTTGGTCACAGGAAACTGGGATAAGACTCTGAGGTAAGTGGAACTTGAAGTTGAATATGCTGCTTATTGCATTTCTCAAAAATATGCGTCTTAGGGGCCATTGTTTTATCAAAATTTAAGAGGGATGAATCTTAATAAACATCTGATTGTTCAGATGTTGTCTTTAGATAGGACTCGGTATGATACAGAGTACTTGTTTTTTCAGCATTTGAATGTTTGTAAATTCAATTCTATTTAAATATAATAAATATATAATTCAATAAAAAAGTAATTAAATATTATGTCTACAAATATCAAAGAAAATTTTAACTTAAAAAAGAATAAGTTATCATTTAAGATAAATTGTAATATTTGAGGATATAAATGAAATACTATGCAGTAACTAATATTTGATTTGAAAACATGAACTGTATAAAATCAAGTACATATGAATTTCACTGCTTGAGAAATGCAGTAACCCAAATCTGGTTTTAAAAGATCAACTATATATAATCAATCAATAACTGATGAATTTAGGCAACCAAAGCTTTTCAGTCCATGGTCAATCAACAAAAGTCATATATTACATTGTTAACTTGAAATAAGGGCAGAGGCTTGTGCAACTAAACCAATTATCCTGGTCATATGTCACTCCTCACTAACTAGGAAACATAAGACTTCTCAACAAACTCAAAATACTCACAATTACAATTGCAACATCGTCAAAGCTTGCAAGATATGAGGTGAAGGGAAAGTTAAACAACTCTGCAACAGTAGATTGGAGAATTGCTTAGCTGCTGCCGCCACGAAAGAAATATCTCAAAGAATACTCGAAGCAAAATTTTTTTAGCTCTCTTCTTTGTATTGAATTAACCCACCCCATCTGAACCCACTATTTTCTTGAAACTGATCAAACCCACTATTTTTACCGGCTTCTCCTTCTATTTTAGCCACTGGTCTTCTCAAATCATATTTCAAAAGGGGTCTTGTTAAACCCTAATCTCAAAATTGAAATCTACCATTAATCCCCCCAAGGGTCGTTATTAAAAAAAAAAAAAACTACTACCATTAAAATACAAAATCAATATTGGAGAATCCCGAATACCCAGCCAGGATTTGATTTCCTATCAGTTTAAGAGGAAAAGATTGGGTTGGCTGTAATAAGCATTGTATTTAGCCTTGTAATCCTGGGCACAATTTTTTGGCAGGTACTGGGATTTGAGACAGTCAAATCCAGCACATGTCCAACAACTTCCTGAGCGCTGCTATGCACTTACAGTGAAACATCCTTTGATGGTTGCTGCCACAGCTGATAGAAATATTATAGTTTTCAATTTGCAGAATCCTCAGGTATTACTCCTCACTTTTTATGGAATTATTCAAATCATTGGAAAGATTATAGTGGTGGCCAGCATGCCCTTAATGCTGAAGAATACAATTTTACCAGTTTCAAAAAAAAAAGAAAAGATTTTAGCGGTTAGCTGTAAGCAATTAGGTTAATCTTTATCTTAGCTAATTAGTATTGTTGGCTGGCAATACATACTATGACGAATAGGACACATTTGTAGGAGCCAGGAGGTATTAATCAAAATAGTCATTAAAATTTAGTCCAACAAAAATATTATTTGGTTACTTTATTTAACTTAATCCATGGATTAGTTATACCTCATTCATGGGTCGTTTGGTAGGGAGTATTTGGAGAAATAGTCCAAGTATTATGTGTGGTATTATTTAGTACTATGTTTGGTAGGAATTTTGGGTCTATGTATAATCAATCCATGGATTAGTTATACACCCTACATGGTATTATAGGATGTATAACTAATACCTTCCATTTGGTGGTATTAGTAATACATGAGATCTAATACCATGAGACTAATCTAGGTAAAGACAAAAATACCCCCTCAAATCCTTTTAATCATTTTGTTTATTTTCTTGATTTTATGTTTTATATTTATACTAAGAAATTTAGTTAAATAAATTAGCTTACAAATTTTATTATTTAGATAGAATTTTTTGTTTCTAAAATATGAGTTATTTAATCTATTTATTATTAATATAAAATACTATAATCCGACTAATATGCTAATGTTGATGTATGAATTTAAGAACAATTCATAAGTCAAATATTGCCTCTTAACGGAACTCCATTAAACATTACACAAGTAGTCTAAAACAAGAGCGCGTATATATATATATATATAAAATATCTCGAGTATAAAAATAGTTTAATTTATTTTGCTATATTAAGTTTTTATTTTATGATAAAGAGTGTTTTTTTAAATTTATTGATACAAAACAAAGTTCAATAAATTTTCTCTATAAATTGTTATAGTTGTGTGACCTTTTGAGATATTAACTCCAATTTATTAAGATGACAATTATTTACCCTCAAATAATTTAAGTGAGAAAATAGTGAACATGGCAATAAATTTTTTATTCTCCTAGCTAGTTAAAATGCTATAAAAAAATAATATTGCCCGTCAATTATCTATCTTGACCCAATTACATGAAATAGAAAATCCCATAATAACTCAAGGGTATAATTGGAAAGAATTTTTTTTGTAGAGTTTTAAACCACACACAAAACTAGGTAAGAAGCAATGAACCAAACACTTGATAAAAATAATCCCTGCATTACTAATCCATGCATTACCAATCCCTGCATTACTAATCCCTGCATTACTAATCCCTGCATTATTGAGCTTTGTACCAAACAACCCCTCAAGGTTTTATTTTATCCCTAGAATTGGGAGGGATAACTAATCTATTGTCTAACAATCCTTGGATAAGACCCTTAAATGTCTAAACTATCCCCCAATCTTTTTTCCTAAAGTTCTTTTGTAATTTAATTTCCTTTTTTATTCATATTAAAATAGTTATAAATTTTCTTTTTAATTCTCCAAATCCGTTCAATGTAATTTGATGTTTTCACAAACTAATATTTTTTTTCTCTATGTTTGATTTGCTATATTGGGTTGATTTTTTTTTCTAGTTTTTTTTAAAAAAATGTAGTTCGTCGATTGACCACTTGAACTATTTGTTTTCTTTTTTTTAATAAGCTTCGTGTATTTGAACAATTTAAGTAGCCTTAAATCTATGTTAGGTTAAGTTTAAGGTATATTTGACCAACAAAAAATTAAAGTAGTGGCATATTTTAGTATTTAACTTGACTAGTTAAATGAAATAGAAATTTCCATAATAACTTAAGGGTATAATAGGAAAGAAATTTTTTGTAGAGTTTTAAACCAAACACAAGATTAGGTGGGAAGCAATGAACCAAACACTTGATAAAAACTAATCTATGTATTACTAAATCTCTGCATCACTAATCTCTTCATTACCAACCCATGCGTAACTAATCCCTGGATTATGCATCTTTGTACCAAACGACCCCATACTGTACTATTAACTGATGCCTTCAATGTAAATTTATTTTATAGTGTAGTGGATATTTTATTCTGATGGTACCTTTTTATTTTGTCCGCAACTCCTAAATAAGCAATTTGTTGTTTGTTTCCTTTATTAGAGAGATTAAATGCTTTCATGCAACCATTTTTGTGCATCATGTTTAAAAAAAAATAGAAATCAATAAAAAAAAACAATGCATCCTAAAGATGCAGTGGTTAAAAAACCAAACTGAAGCCCCTATGCAAAGCTTAAAGAGCATCAAATCTTAAAGATCATCTATACCATTTACATATGTGAATTTACACCAGAAATACATCCATTAAAATTTGGTGTTCAAAGAGGGAGTGGGGGTCTAAATTACTCCATTTTAAAATCTCTGATTATCCTTCCGGGAGGTCCATAGAATGCTGCCTGGAATAGTATGATACATATTCTTCTAGTCGATTTGCTCACCTTCCAACCACACCAACTTACGTGCATCTCTATGAGTGTAAGGCATAATCCACTCTAGGCATGTAGACTCGAGAAGATATCCCAGACAAGATATCCAAGACATTCTTTGCAACAAGAAACAGAGGAAGTAAATTCTTGGAGTCTCATCTCTACTTTACATGTGTAACACCTATTCAACAGGAAAACCCTTCTTCTTTTTAGGTTCTCTTTTGAGTAAAGAAAGCCAGGTAAAGCTGTCCTACGGAAGCAAGCTACTTTGTCAGGGCTTTTGTTCCTTTGCGAATTCTTAATCAAGTGCCTAGAATTATTCAAGTTTTGTTGGCAAGCCTGAGCAGTGAAAAGATATCTTTTTCCACCAATCCATCTCATTTTATCATATGTCAGTCAGTCAGTGTGCATTGTTTTACCTCCTGCAAACTGCTTGACAATGCCATTAATCTTTCCACCTCCCAATCTTGGCAATTCCTCCACAAATCTTCCAGTTTCCACTACTACAACCTGCAAATTGTAGAATCAGGACAAGAGATAAACTGGAAATGTCGGGGAATTCATTTTTAGTGGAGTCTGCCCTATATCCGAAGATATTAATTGCACTAAAAGTACCTTCCAGCAGTTGTAGTTTATTGCTACAGTTATTCCGTCTGTTCTTTATGATTTTACTGGAGAGACTAGTTTGTCAACTCTTGGTTTTTCTACAATTTTGGCAGCCAACTATTTTCTATTTTTCGTGGGCCTAAAGTAGTAGAAGGGGCCAGGTCACTCTATGGATAGAGTGATAAAACTAGTAATGTGTGGTATAATATTTAAAATAATATGTTAATATATCCAGACCTTCTAAATTTGATGAAATATTGTCATATTAGTAAAACCTTTTGAGGGAGCATTTTCAGTTCAGAAAATTGATGTTGAAGGCTTGCAATTTAACCAAAATAAACATTTAGAATGTTAACAACATCGATTTCATAGATTTTGGTCCATGTTTCTCTTTTTACTCTTACTACTCACTATTTTTTTAAAAAAAAAGGAAAGATCGAGGAAACTTAAGGATAATTTTCTCATTAGTTTTTAGAAAGAGGTTGTGTTTGATATGGAGGAATTTTCTCATATTTGGTTGGCCAAAATGTTTTGGAAAACAAGTTCCATAAGTGACATTCCAAGTGCACTGGCTCCCCCCCTCCCCCCCAAAAAAAAATCCCTACCTAACCCTCACAGTGGTTTGCTAGATTATATATAAATGCTCTTGGGATAAATGTTTTTTGTTTACTTACAAAACACTAGAAAATGAGTAAGAAACCCACCTGTTTTCCAAGAAAATATTTTCTAGGAAAACATTTTCTTCCTACCAAACACACCCTTGTAAAGCCAAGTTTATACTCACAAAATTTTTGTTGTTGTTGGATATTCAAGTATTAATATTGCTAGCATTTCCTTCAAATTGCTAAAAACTTGTATTTCTTTCAAATTGTTACAGACTGAATTCAAGAGAATTGTCTCACCCTTAAAGTATCAAACTCGGTGTTTAGCTGCCTTCCCTGATCAACAAGGTTTCTTGGTGAGTAGCTATTTTATGATCGAATACCTTCTTGTGTATGCTATATTAAATTGCTCAGTCTTATTTTTTGCCCACCTTATACAAATGCTAGAGTCCCATACAGGGAGTGAGATTAGTAGAATGATCTCAGAGCTTAATATTTTGAGCCGATACAAATTCCTTCTTATATCAAACTAAAGATGAACAGATACAGAGAGCCTAAAAGAGTGTTATTACCTTTGTTTTGGCAAGTTCTCCATGCTTATGGTGACAGTGCTCTTGCATAATTTCTTCCACTGGAGACTGGAGTTGGTTTGCATAAGAAACTTCCTGTTACACGAGAATTATGTGGTATTTGGAGAATTGGTAACATACTCGAATCAACGAATTCAGACTGTTCCTCAAAGTTTTAGACCACTTGTGCTGCCTGAAGAAGGAGGTAAATCACTTAGTTGGTTCTCTCCTAAATTGGGAGATGCAAGCTGATATCGCAAAGTCTCTCTGTTTGTGATGCTCACAATATCTTCTTTATCTGCCCAAGCACTTCATCCATACATGGGCCTTCTTTCTTTAAATAGCTAGCTATCTTATGAGACAGTCCCAGCTCTTCAAACTCCTTTGACCTCTCTCTAATAAATTTTCTTTTTCCCGTTTCACCTTTTCTGTTTGGTTTGGGGGGAGAGGGTGACGGAGGAAATGATTGGACTTTCTTGAATTATTTAGCAGCCTTGAGAGGAGCAACCAAGGAAGCTTTCTATCAACAGTGAGCTGAACACTTGTAGATGGTTTGTTTGTAAAGCATTTTGGATCTTTCGTAACAAGGTCCAAGAAAGGAAAAAGTAATGAATGTTACAGGCTGATCCAAGAAAGACACTTTTACTGAGTCTTCCTCCTTAAGAAAAGACACTTCTACTGAATCTATTTTAGTTATTTTCTGAAAGGGAGTTCTATGGTGTGTTTGGATTTTGCTGGCCAAGGCATTCATGAATGGTTTCCCTATGGTAATAGCTTATTTTCATTCTTACATGTGGATTGTGGTCTGTAAATAATTCCTGATATTGTGAATACATTACATCAGATGCATCTAGGTTCTAGACTCATTTGAGACATGTATCATTATAATATTTTACATCCTCTATTTAGGTTGGCTCTATTGAAGGACGGGTTGGTGTTCATCATCTTGAGGATTCTCAACAAAGTAAAAACTTCACATTCAAATGCCACAGGGAGGGCAACGAAATTTACTCAGTCAACTCTCTGAACTTCCACCCTGTAAGATCTTTTTCTCTTTTTATATTTTTATTCATTGCATTCTTCCCGCCTTGTTCTCTATAAAGTTTACTGTCTTCTAATGTTGCATCTTTTGGGAGGTAGAGGATGTGTAGCTGTCTCTCATATCCTTTTTTTAATGTCTGGTGGATATAGTGTTGACAAAGAGAAACTGCCAGTCAATTGCTGTGTGGACAATTTTTAGCAAGTTATTGTTAGAAGAACCTATATATGATGCATGCACATTTCTGGTCTTAGGTAATTAAAATCTAGAAGCTTTATGATTGTGTACCATTTTAGTTGTCCTTACCTTTGGACTGGTATTCTTAGTTTAGGTGGAGTAGGTGAACTGCTAAATGTAAGATCAAGAGACCTGAAAATATATAGCAAGCTTCTTGTATACACAAACTAAACATAAAGTTGATAAACACAACGCTGGACCTGCTTCTTAAAGTTGGTCTTTAGGGAAGTTGTCATTGTCAAATAGACTTTATACTATTGCTAAATACTACTAATATTTCTACTTCAACTCATTCGTCATGTGTTACATCTGCCTCACTCAGACACATGGAACATTTGCAACCGCGGGATCTGATGGTTCCTTCAACTTTTGGGATAAAGATAGCAAACAGAGGCTCAAGGTATCCTTGATCCTTTTTAAAGTGCTAATTTCTATGAAGTTCAGTCATTTTCTTTATTTTTTATGATTTCTAGCATGTGTTCTTTATGAATGGAATTGGCATACATTTAAATGCATGAAATCGATAAAGCATCTTTCTTTGTTTAGAACATCCCTAGTTTCTGGACATTAAAAGCCAAATATCTCTTTTCATTTGTTGTTTATTCATTCATTTGATTATGACAAAATAAAAACTGTCATGTTGCAAAAGAGGATTGCTCTATAAGACCTTACTTGGTTGACATAGACCTTTCTGAATATTAGGTTTTCTAATCTAGGAATTTCAAGGATTTCTTGAATCTTCCTCTGTGTTATTCGGTACACATCAGCTTTATAGAAAATTTAAAACTTTCTAGTTTGCATCAGGTGACCAGTAAATTTTAGCAGATAGTACTTGTGGGTTTTTCATTTATGAGAAAACCATTATGTGATGTCCTCTGGTACCTTTTAATTTTTATTGCTTAAGATACAAATTGTCTTCCTCTTGAAGAAACTTTTATGGCTTTCTCCAAATTGGTGATGTATGGAGTAACATTTTTAACCTTGGATGTATATTTTCTCTATCAAACAGCTTTTGATCATTACTGTACATACTTGTCATTTCCAAATTTGACAGCTTAAATCTGTGTCATTCAAATAGTGAAATGAAATGTGGAATGCTGGCTTGCTTTTCAATAATGCTACTACTGTTTTGACACTGGTTCATTCTTTATAGTATGTTTTAATTCTTTAATAGTGCAAGAAAACAAAAATATTTTAATATTTAACATCTGTTGCCGCTTTTGGCATCTTCCATTAAGATTTTTTTGTGTGTGTTTTCTTTAGGCAATGTCAAGATGCAGCCAGCCCATACCTTGCAGCGCGTTCAACAATGATGGCTCAATCTACGCATATGCAGTATGTTTTTGGTTACTTTTGTTCAGTAGAACCTTCACTATGAATAACTTTTGTAGTTCACACTCATACTCTTGTGTGGGAGTGTTTCTCTGTGCCACTTAGAAAACCATTACTCGGATACTTACCCCAGTCCACCATAGCTTTTTTTCTTGCCAGCATTAACACAGGATGCCCCTTTTTTTGTTTCTCTTCTGCCCTCTAATTCTTGAATCTTCTGATGTCTTGATGTTGCTGAAGTTTCTGATTTTCTCTTAGTCTTGCATGCAAATTTGCTTCAGTTTTCAATTTGTTTATCCGATTTTGTGTATAGGTTTGTTATGATTGGAGCAAGGGTGCAGAAAATCATAATCCATCAACTGCAAAAACAAACATTTACTTGCACTTCCCACAGGTATATTCCATAAACTGTACCCTTGGTTTCTTTATGTTTGAACCATATATATCATCAATCCCCAAACGAAAAAGAAGTATATTAGTGTTTACAGCTATAAACGGTTTACACATTGTATTTGTCATGCAGGATTCTGAGGTTAAAGGCAAGCCACGAATTGGAACTAGCGGTAGAAAGTGAAGTCAGCAGGAAAGCTTCTTGTCACAGTTTCAGAGAAAGTTTGTTTTGTTCTGTACATGGCTTTTTCTGTCTGCAGTCGTGCAATTAATTCGCGGGAGTAGAAGTTTGAGTTTTGAACAGTCAGTAGATAGTGATTTGAGTCTGATATTCCTTATTTGTAGGAGCTTGCTTGTGGTGGCAATACTTGTAATCTCCTTACAGAATTAGATAGTTGCTTAGTCTCCATCCGGTGTAGCCTCTGAAACTTCGTGGCAGTGATTGATAGCTATCTCTGCACTTTTTGTCTGAATAGCCGTTTTATTTCTAGAGTTGGTAATTACTTCATGCAGTAGAGTCCTCAATGTGTCTTGAATTTAAGGGCTGGCAAATGGAGCATTTTAACTGAACTTTGGTGGTTAAAGATTTGTTACAATTGCTCAAATCCTGTTCAAAAGTTTCATGTTTGAGATGGCGCAGGTCACGAGTGTTAAATAATGGTCATAATTTAATCTGTCTAAGTTGACATAATCTATCCCGTCTCTTGTAGAAATGAAGGTAAGATTCTTGTGCAAAGCACTATTTACGGTACGTGCTTTGCACAAGAATCTTATCTTATTTATGAGTGACAATTTAAAAAATAAAAAGTTAAAAACATGCAAGACTTTTAAAATGATGAGTTATGATATTATTTAGTTGGCATTAAAGGTTGGAAGGAAGGAATTCTAATATATTTGTTATATTTTCAATTTAAATGTACCCCTGTTAGCTTAGGAATAAAATAACGTACCCCAAATTTAAATATCCAAATACTTTTAGAAACCCACCCATTTAGCTCATTTCCAAATTCCAACCCGTTCCTATAGGCTATAGTCATCCACTCTCCATCTGAAATTTCTTAAAATGAACACTCAACACTTAATTTTGGCACATATCCCCTGCTTGTATGATGGTAAAATCCATAAGCATGACTTAATCTTTTTGTTAGAGTTTGGGGTATTTGTTGGTTCAAGAACCACTGATGAATGCAAATGACAACTCAAGTTAATATCTCATATGGTTACTCAACTATGCACTCTTCTCTCAGAAAGTCACTTAACTATGCACTTTTCTCTCAAAAAGTCATTCAACTACACTTTTCTCTCAAAAAGTCACTCAACTTTGAATTTTAACTCAAAAGTCACTCAATTATCCACTCTTCTCTCAAAAAATCACTCAATTTATTTTATTGTTTAAACCATTTAATGACCCGCTCCACTTGACCCGACCTGCTAAAATATAATATTGACCCATTTTATTTTGCCCTTACTCCTAAATTACTCACCCTCTCTCCTCTACTCCTCTACATTTTTTTTCGTTCTCCATGGCTCCATTGTTGGTGCCTCTTCTTCCCCTTTTAGCTAGGTTTTAATTTGAGCATCTCGACTTCAAGGTCTAGGGTTTATTTTTTTCTTTTAGTTATTTGTTGTTGAATCGAAGAAAGACAAGTGAGGTTAGGGTTCTTTATCCATGTGGGTATTAGATTTTTCTCCATAGATAAGGTTAGGATTTATTATTTTTAGAACCTTAGAATTTTATCTGTTTTTTATCTACATTGTGTTTAATTTGTGTTTTTAGGAAATATCATCACAATGTGAACATTTTTTGAGCGTAGTGTTGGCTGAAGAAGTTCAGGGTGGTAATGTACTGAGATATGTATGCACTTTTTCCTTTATGAAGCAAGTTAATGAATTTACTAAGTTTCCTTGTTGCCATCTCTTCTATGGTCTGCTGCAACTTTCCTTGTTGTCATCTCTTCCACTTTTACTCAGGTTAGCTGTCATTGAGTCAAATTCAGGATTACTAAGAGTGTTACCAATAGAGTTTCAAAATCAAATTAAAATTGAGATATAATATGAAAAAAAAAACCATGCATCAAATTCCTTTAATTTCCTACCTAATATAGAGCTTGAATTTGAGATGCCTAAATTAAAACCTAACTAAAAGAGCAAACTACAAGAGGAAGAAGAAACATTATGGAGAACCAGAAAAAAAAAACACACAGGAGAAGGAGAAAGAGTCATAAAATAGGTCAATATTATATTTTAGTGGGTCGGGTCAAGTGGAGCGGATCATTAAATGGTTTTTTTTAAATTTTTTTTTTTTTTTGGTTTGTTATACAAACAATTAATATCAGCAAATTTTAATTAAAAAAACAATTAAATAGATTGAGTGACTTTCTGAGAGAAGAGTGGATAGTTGAGTGACTTTTGAGTTAAAATTCAAAGTTGAGTGGCTTTCTGAGAGAAAAGTGCATAGTTGAGTGACTTTTGAGTTAAAATTGAAAGTTGAGTGGCTTTCTGAGAAAATAGTGCATATTTGAGTGACCATCTGCGATATTAACTCACGACAACTCCGATTAATAGCATAACACTTTTAAGTTGTGAAAATTACAAAAGTATTCTACTTAAGACTTTTATTAACAAAATATCAATATACTTATATTTAATTACAAACTAAAATTTTAAATTACATACATAACAAAACATTTAATTTTTGTATTTAATTTAATTTTGTTTTTACATATTTTTCTCTCTCATACTATTAGTATTACGTGCCTTTTATGTGGAGTATAATTAGGTACTTAAAGTTTATCAATTATTATCTCTCCTAATACAGATTTCAAAACACGCGTTTCATTAATTTTGGTTTTTTCCCTTTTTACGCTTAGTGGACCTTTTTGGGATCATAATTAATTTATTCCTTTTTTGATAAAGCTTTTTTTTTTTACCAAGAAAGGCAGTGTACTTATCAATGTGGAGTTATAGTTCCAAGAAATCTTGAAAATATTTTTTCCAGCAGTCAAAAGGGTTAACTCTTCCATATTCTTCTTCCATTTTTCTTAAACATTTAATCTTCTTCACAGAAACGATTCACAATCCAACTAACCAAATTTTTTTACCATTGTTCGATAATGGAAAAGACTCTGTGTAAAAATCCTAGACTTAACAAATTCGTGGTAATCGTTGATAGCCCACCGATCAATTGTTCAAGACCATCTTATGAGTTGAATACATTTACGCATCACCTGTCAAAGTTGGTACTAGAGATGAAAACAAATTATCTGGTAGATCTAATGAGTGTATTGTTAAATCAATTCTTCATCATCCTACAAAGTTAAAAAAAAAGATGATTATGGGGTTGATACAAAATCGAAGGGCAAATAAAAATTGCTAGAAGTTCTTTCGCCGAATATGTTTGTCGGGGAGATATGGATATATCTGTTGACACCCAATTTTGGCTCTCCACATTTGTTTAACTAAAGTTTTAATAATAATAATAATAATAAAAATAAAAATAATAAAATATATATATGTTTCGAAATTGTAGGAATACGAAAAGATTTTTAATTATTATTTATTTTATTTGATAAATTTATTTCATAAATACTATTTTTTATAAAAAATAAATATATTATATATATATATTACTACTTTCTCATTTTTAGATTTCACGTCAAATGAATATTTTTCTTAAGGGTTCGCTCGATTTTTTCAATTAAATATAATTTCTATTATTGCGATGAATTTTTTTTTTTTTTTTGACATTTTTCAAATTAGGAAGGCTTAATTAATTATTGAGTTACTAGTTTATATTAATTTTATTTTTCAAATGACTAATTTTATCAAATAAGCTAGTTTTGTAAAATAATTATTTTTAATTTAATAAATTATGGTTATTTAATAAACAAAGGGCTATAATTTAAATGGACTTAATTTGAGCAAAATTTGGCAATCCAATTTATTTTAACTCGGTCAATCCGCGCGTGCCACATAAGAAGCACATGGATTGTGCTTCTTTAGATTCGATCCCAACAGTCCGATTTAATCAAAGGGCCCAATTTAATTCAGCATATATATATATATATATATATATATATATATATATATATATATATATATATTTATTTATTTAACTCTTGATTAATTTTGACCATCCGATCAAACGATTAGACGGCCCAAAATAACCAGGAGTTTTCAGCCTTCCCAAAATAGACTCCACCGCCCCTATTTTCTTCTTTCCCAGAATTGCCGCCCTATACTCTGTATTTTTCTCAGAGATCACGATTCACCTCCCCTTCATTCTTCTCCATAGCCTCGCTCCTCTCCCATCACTTCCTCCTCAGACCCTATGCTAGCATCGCCGTCCATCACCGCCCCACGTGATCCCCATCCCCCTGTCAGAAACGGCTCTGAGCCACCGGAAAAATGTCAATTCCGGCAGTTCCTTGCCTCATCTCTCACTCACCCTTTTCAATCGACCCGTAAAAGTAAGATTTTCCAAGATTTTTCTTCTCCTTCATAATTTCTTTGATGTTTCCTCTAAGATTGGTGTTTCCAAGAATTCAAATTTTGAATTCTTGGAGCCCAAATCGACTATAAAAGGAGGACTTTGGTCCTCATTCAGGGATGATCGGATAAACAGGAAAAGAGATCCATAAACGAGGAAATCATCCACTAACGTCCAAAAACAATCCAGAAAACAGGGGAAATCAGTGAGAAAATCCAAGAATCGATTAAAAAAAAGAAAGATCCAACAATAATCCAGCGAGTCTGTTTTAGTGTTGAATTCGAGTTGAAGGAAGTTCTAAGTTGAATCTTGACGTCAAAGCTCTTGTTTGCTACTCCAAATAAGGTAATCTCTTTGTTTGTTTTGTGTTGTTTCGATTAGTCTATTTATTTTCTTGTCTTTTCTTTGAAATGTTCTGTATGTGGCTGATTTAATTATGCGAAACTTGGCTGTTTTAACTCATATGGTTCTTTCTGCTTCCGTTTTGTTTGGAGGTTTATTGAGAATATCATACATTTATAGTAGTCGAAGGTTTATTGAGAATTTCATACATTTATAGTAGTCGAAGTTTGGCATGTATACGTTCTTGCATATATTGATAGTATCTGGACTTAGACTCTCTCACTAATGCATTTTATCCTGTCAAATTGATTCATGAATCTGTTAGTTTTAAGGTGTACCTTTCTCGGGCCAAATTTATAAACCACCTTTGCTTATGTTCGACAGTCATGTGCTTCCATATCTTTGATCCTAATTTTTCTCATTGTAAGACTATCATCTAGATATGTCCTGTCTCACTTTGATTTATTTCTTCTTCTTTTTTCCAACTCTTTGTTATACAATTTGTTTGTATGGTTAGACGTAGAATCTGTTAGTTCTTCAAATCTTTTTTT